TATACCCTAAAAGAAAATGAACTAAAAAATATTAAATCGACACTTTAATATTTTTTCCTTTTTTCTTCTTTTCTTCTTTTCAATATTCTCTTTCTTTTTCAAAATATTTTTCAATATATTTTTCAAATATTTTTCTCCAATATTTTCACCCTTTTTTCAATATATTTTCATATACTTTTTCTTGAATATTTTCATATTTTCTATATTCTCTTTCTTTTTCATAATATTTTTCTATTTCTTTTTTCCATATTTTTTCATATTTTTTTCAATATATCCTTTTTCTCTTTTTTTTATTTCTCAAATCAAAAGAAAGAAAACAAGCAAAGAGGGGGGGGGGGGGTTACACTGGATTACAAGGGGTATGCAGGAAATAATAAAAAAAATGAGGGCCCAGCCCAAAGGAAATTCAGAAAGACCATTGGGAGGGGGGTGTGAGCAGAAATGATAAAAAAAAAAAGATAAACTGGGCCCGGCCCAGTCCCAGCAAAAACGGGGGGTGTACGGTCAAAAGATTTGGGCCTTAGGCCCAGTTCCCTAACCCATCTTCCTCCTCACCCTCTGAACAACCAAAGAAACCCTAGAGTCTCCTTCTCCTATTCCCAGCGCCGCCGTCAACCTTCCCTCCTTTCTCCGTCATTCTCTATCCTCTCAATACCTCCGTTCCTCTCACAATCTCTCAGTCTCAAAATCTCTGAATCTCCTTTCTTGATCCTCCCTTGTCCTTCTCCTCTTTCTTCAATCTCCGTTCAAACCAAGACAAACCACCAATCCTTCTTCCCTCATTGAATCGCCACATTAATCGAAACCCCAGCTTGAAGAGGATCTGACGAAGCACAAAGAACATCTTTGAAGCAAATTTCTGATAACGGATGCGCGTGGAAGATCCACTTTGAGTCTTGACGAGGGCGATGGGAGTGTCTTCATGAAGCTTTGAAGCTTTGACCGGTGAAAGGTTATTGAAGCGGAGAACGATCCTCTTGTGAAAAGAAGAATGCTCGCTGATGAATCTTGAATATTCTTCCTTCTGGAAATCTGGTGATGCTCGTTTGATGAAGATCTTGGAGGAAGCTATGGCGTTTGCTGTTGACGAAATCTTCTGGAGATGAATAGACGAGGGTTTACGGATTTAGGGGTTGTTCTTCTGGGGATTTTGGTGAAGGTTCTGTTGAGGGTTGATGTTTGTTGAACGGAGAAGATAAAGGTTCTTGGATCTGGGGATTTTGGTGAAGATCGAAGGATGATGAACTCCTGAGAAACCATTGATGAAGGTTGAATCTGGAATTTTTCTGAAGGTTACTCTTGTGTCGTTTAACGGTTGAAGGCGGTGGTGATGATGAACTCTCTGGTTTCTGGATTTTCTGGATAGTGGAAGACGAATGGGTGAAGGTTGGGTTTCTGAGCTTTTTCTGGAGAATTGGTGGTGGTCGGAAGTTGGATGAGGAAGATGAATGTCTTACCGGAGAAGATGAAGATATGAATTCTGTGTTTGTTGGTGGTTTTCTGGGTTTTGTGTTTTCCGGCGACGGCGCGGTGGCCGCCGGCCATGCAGGCCGGCCGGTGTGGTGAACGGTGAGGGACTCAGGCGAGGGCAGGTGGAGAGGTTGTGGTGACTCCACGTGGGGAGATAGTGGGGTGGTGAGCTGCATGGCTGCCACCTGTTGGGTGGTGTGGCAGAGAGAGAGGGTCTGGGAAGACGCGTGGCGCGTGTGTGATGAAGCAAGGTGGGGCCAGCCCTGAACCAACACGTGTCGAGCAAGCTTTATAGCACTGAGAAGCTCTGGCACCTTCTAGAACTTTCTGGGAAAATCTGGAAGAAACTGGACATTGCTGGAACGAATTGGACTGCTTTTGGACAAAAAACACTAAATGGGCCTGCGAATTGAAAACCGAAGCCCAGCGAAAATAATTAAAAAACTCAGAAAAACTGAATTAAACAATCAGCCCAATTACTAACCTAATTAACTATTGAACTCAATTAATTCCTAACTAATAAAATTTGAACACTAATCTAATTAAACTCTAATTAAAACTCTAATAAACCCACTAATAAAATTCTGATAAAACTATATTATTCTATAAAAAAAAAAGATAAAATCTATTTAACTCTATATTATCTAAAAAAAGGAATTAAAACATATTAAAACTATTTAAAATCTATTAAATTCTACACTATTTAAAAGAAACTTTTCAAAAATCAATTAATATTCTAAAAATCTATATTATTTATCTAAAATCTATTAAACCCTAAAATGATTAAAATCTATTTAAAAAAGAATTAAAACTATTAAAAAATCCTATTAAACCTAAAAATGATTTATAAACCTATTTAAACCCTAAAAAATGCCAATAAAATCCAGAAAAATCACCATAATTCCCAGAGGGACAAAATGAGCACCGAACGACACAAAAATAATCGGTAAAAATAAACGGGCACCGAAATAACCCAAAAATCGATTCTACTGATTAAAAGTGATAAAAAACACCTGAAACACGAGACGGGAGCTGTGATCCAATAAAATCAAAACAAATGAGAAGAATGCACTGTATGCAATATGCAGATGCGAATGCGATTATGCGCCGAAACATTGAGCCAGATACGAGACCCGGTTGGTCAAATTTTGGGGTGCAACAGCTGCCCCTATTCAAGCGACTTCGACCTGAATGGGTGAAGAGCGCTCAGCCTTCAAACATTCAAGGTAGATGACGGTTGAATACAAATGGAACCCTGAAATTTGCCAACCGCAAGAATATACTGCAAAACTGCTTGAGGAATAGCTTCCAATAAACTGAAGTTTGGTTGTCACGGCAACAGCTGGTCAATTTTCTGATAAATTCTCTTCTCCTTTTCAACACCTGTGTAACGCCACAAGTATTGAAATAATGCTTCGGAAAAGCAAACGAATTGATTCCCATCTCTCTCATGGGATCAAATCCGGTCAACTCACAGTTCACTGCGAACTTGAGGACAATTCTCCTGGGGAATTCTGAATGGAACTGCCTGGCACCTATTCTGACGAAGGTGGCAGCTCCAGAAGTCTGATATATGTCAATCTTCGTTGTTGTTGTTTTTTTTTTATCCCGATGCTGACGTAACAACCAAATATGAAGAATCACTCCGCTGGGGAAGTCAAGAAGCTGTACCACACAACTCTGCAGGTGAACAAATTCGAAATCCAATAGGTAACCATTCTGGTCCATGTTTCGACATGCGTATGCTTGATAATGATGCAATGCCCTATATGACATGTAAATGCTATGCGTTCTGTTTGAAAATGCGAGGCCCAGACGGCATGGAAATGCTATATGTTTGATAGATGCGATGACTGTATATGCAAATGCTAATGCAGGCTCGAGCTGCCAGAGAACACCAGGTCTGAAAACCACTTGGCAAAATAAAAGCCGAAGATAATGCCAACTCTACTGGGGATGAACCGAGGCCACAGAATCGTCTCAGCAAAATAAATGCTGGAAACGGGAAACCAAATCCGCTGTGGATAACTGTTCTGCTGGAGAAATGAAAAGGCAGCCCTTCTTGGCGACTTCATTGGGGAGAAAAAGAACAACTCTGCTCGGGGGTGCTTTCTTCAAACCATTGGCAACTGATTGTACTCTGCGGGGATTGACCCAAACTGAGGTTGAGTGCGCGCAGCACGCTGCTGGAAATGCCCCTACTATCAAGGATGTCAATCTTAATCTGCTGAGGATATTCCTGATCCTTCTCTGATACGGGGTAAAATACGATCTCGACTCTTCCGGGGATAATAAGCAACTTTCATCTGATGAAGAGTAACAATTCTGATTTAACAACATCTGCAAGGAATTCAAACATTACTCGGAGCACTGGCATCCGCCGAGCTTCGTATCGGGAAACATGACAACATGCGGGTCATTGGGAAATACTGTGTCAGATACCTTTAGGTTTTTTGTTTTTCTGGTTTAGAATAAACATGGACTATGTACACAGTGGAAGATATGGAAATACTAGACGAGAACTAGCATTCAAAGGTGGACTACCAGACGAGAACTGATAGGAAAATAGGTTAGAAAATTGATTTTTGTGTTTTTGACATCAGACAGGGCTGACTGGATAACAGACTGAGAAAAAGACAACCAGGCGAGAACTGGCTGAAAGCTAACGTACACCAGGCGAGAACTGGTATAACACTTGAAGAAACGGTGACCAAACGAGAATTGGTTACCAATAAACTGCACCAGACGGGAACTGCTGCTTACAATAAACTGCACCAGGACGGGAACTGCTGCTTACAATAAACTGCACCAGGACGGGAACTGCTGCTTACGGAAAGTGGGCCAATTGATTCTTTTTCTGTAGTTCGTGCCCTAAACTACGACCGCTCTGATTTCTCATTGGACAATGAGAATACGTATGCACAAGATGCGATATCTTGACGAGCAACCTTCCCCCTTTCTCCCACCTTTTAGTCTGGATAGAACCATTTGGTCTTACAACGTAGAACTTTAGGATAGAGTTTGGTTAACTCTATGTAAGAATCATGGATATGATTACTTACTTCTCTTTCTTGAGAGTTCAACATAGATTTAGAGAGTTGTCTTAAACTCTATACAAACATTGTTATGTTTGTTCCCCTTTGAACCTTGATCATAATCAAGTGTTCTTCAACCCTAGTGAGGTGAACTACGACTGCTCTGATTCTATCCTAGTTAGGATACGTAGGCAGAGGACGCGACGTCTTTGCAAGCAAGCTTATAAACTATCTTTAGGTCTTAAACTACACCCTTTACCCAATCCCAATCCATAGCAAACATTTACCAACTTAGCATGCAAACAAACAAAAGGTTCCTGTAGAGTACTACAGATGTTTAGGATGTGAAATACCTACCCTAGGCATAACCAACCCCCGATCACTGAATCTCTTAGCATTGTTGTTACATCGCAAAAAGGGTTTTTCTTTCTTTAGACCTTTCCTTTGGATAAATTAAAGTCCGGTTGTAATCTAAGAATTAAAGATTCAAGTTAATCAATAGCTTGGTATCTTGATTCTCACTGCAACAGGCTCAATCATGAGTGTACCAGCCACAGGCCATGACATTGTTGGTCCATGAAATCCATAGTCCATGAGACGTTTCGCAACATCTTCGGGCTCTATTCCAGCAGTATTCTACAACGGAAATACCTTACAATTAATCACAACTTGAATAATCATAATATTACTTGAAAATCAATTTCAATCATCAAGTGGTCTAACCTTAAATCCTCTTAAGTCAATAATGAATTCATGAGCTTGATGACTTTCATGTGATCTTGACAATATTGGGCTTGAAAGCATCCACCCTTTTAACAAGAACTTTGTCATGTTTGCAAGTCATGAAATTCACAGTAGTAGGTGTCTACCAGAAGCTCCAAACATCCTTGGAAGTTGAAACCAAGTATAGTATCAATAATCGACATTTTCTAAACATATTTGCTAGAGACATTTCAGTTCACTATGTGGTGTAGAAGAAAAATGTAGATACCAACATCTCAAATCAGGTAGTATTCTTTCATGAAATGTGAAAAATATTATAACAAAAGTGAACAAACTTTCAAAGATTCTTGAATCAATAGTATAACTATATATAAGAAAAATACCTGTACCGAAATAAAAGGCGTCTACTGGAAGCAACAAACATCATTGGAAGTTGGAAACGAGCATATGATTAGGAATCCTCATTTTTCAAAGATATTATCTTCTAATCAACTGCTGATGACCTGGCTCCACGGCGAAGAGAATTCCAGGTTGGATTTCTTTTCTTAAGAATCGTTTTATCTCTAATACCATCATATAGTAGTTCATAGGCATGATAAGTTATATTTTCCTTTTTTAACAAAATTTCTACAACAATCTTAGGTGCTGCTACCACCTTTTTATCAACTTCAAAAATTGTATTCACAGTATCTGGCACAATGTCCTTTTGTACCATAAGGTGGGTGATACCAACTGCTTCTTGAACCTTGTGCTCCATGCAAAGACAATTTAAAACCCGTCCAAATGTTGTCAGTGATGGAATAAACCCCTTTTCAATATTCTCCAATAGAAAACTGTATCCACAGATAAAATTTCCTATTTTGCAAAAGCCATCAATTATGACCCTGTAAGTATAGTTGTCTGGGTCACATCTATTTTTTTCATCTCAGAGAAGAGTCTTACGACCATTTTCATATTGAGTTGTTCCAAAAATGCACAAAGCATGATATTATAGGTTGCTGTTGTATGGCAAACTTCAGATTGTTTTTCCATCCCTCTAAATAACTGATAAGCATCATCAAGATCCCCAATGTTGCAGAACCCGGTGATCAATGTGCCAAAACTAACTACATCAGGTGTCAAGCCCTTGCTTTTCATTTCCCCAAGCAAATCTACTACTTCATTTACTTTATTAGATTTGCAAAGGCTTTCTATGATAATGTTATACGTAATTATGTTTGGAGTACATCCCTTCTCCGGCATTGCCTTGAAAATATCCATTACTTCTTCGGACTTTGCAGCCTTGCAGAGCCCATTCAACAAAGTGTTATATGTGATAACATCAGGAGTCATACCTTGACTCCACATTCTGTTCACCAACTCAATTGCACTGTCTAACTTCATCTGTTTGTAATAGCCATCAACCAAAATATTGTAGGTAAATATGACTGGGATGCACCCTTTGGCTATAGCATCATCTATAAAACGATTAGCATCAGATAAATAACCTATCTTGCACAAGCCATTTATGATTACATTATAAGTCTATATATCAGGGTGACAACCATTTTCTGCCATCTCATTCATGAATTGTAAAGCCGGAAAAATCAGTCCTTGCTGACATAACCCTTTAATCAAAGTATTGTAAACAATAACGCTTGGCATTAAACCTTTACCTAACCAATCCTTAAAGATGGCCACGGCCTAATCAGGGTCACTATCCTGGCAAAAACCATTAATTGATGAACAATAGGTAAACGCATCAGGCTTAAAACCCTTAAAAACTGCATCTTTCAGAATCCTATTTGCATCCACTACCATCCCCTTCTTGCAGTATCCATCAATAATACTATTATAAGTGAAACAATTCGGCTCAAATCCACCATTAACCATTTTATGCAAATATTCCTCAGCTTCAACAACCCGCGAATTCCTACACAGCCCACATATAACTGTATTATAACTAACAACATCAGGCCTCAAACCATCCCCTGACACACAACCTAACAATCTAACCGCCCTATCAAGAGAACCTTCCTTACAAAGCCCTTGTATAAAGATATTAAAAGTAAACAAATTCGGAGAAACCCCTCTCTTCAAACCTTATTAAGAATCTTCTCACTTTCCAAAACAAGACCCTTCTTACATAAAATATGAACAAGCTTATTAAAAGTAGTAACATCAGGACACAAAGAACATTCAAGCATTTCATCAAACAGCTCACGTGCTTTCACTTTATCATCAAATTCATAAAACCCTGCAACAACGGTGCAATAAGCAACATCATTTGAAAATCAACCTAAATAGGGACTCTCCCTAACTAAAAATAAAACCCTGCAACAACAGTGCATGAAGGAATTGCATTTTGAAATTCTGGTGCAAGAGATGCCGCTGTGAATGAGACCTGTAGACAAATAAAAAATTTAGATGCAATAATGATATCATGATAATTGTGAAAACAAATACAAAATGGATATATGATTTAAACGTACAGGCTTGCCACCAGCGAAAACTTTGAAAAACTTATCAACATCCTCTAACGTAGTTGTTTCGTCAAAAGCAACGGTGATCTGAAAAGCAAACAAGCTCTGTCACAATTCAAAGACATGTAAATATAGTCAAACTGATTTGGTACGAGAATTTATGCATGACTTACAATGTTTCCATCTACAACACGCAAATTGATTTCACTTTTGATAGCAGCATCTGGAATTACTTTGGCATTTGAAGTCTTAAACTTCACAGTGTCAAAGAAGCCAAGATCCTGAACTTCGAATCCAAGTTTCTTTAATCCAAGAGCAAACACACCGGCAAGACCATGAACCCTTTGTGCAATGGCTTTAAGGCCTTCAGGTCCATGATATACAACATACATAGCAACCATGTTTGCAAGCAATGCCTAAACAAAACCAACCAGAATCAAATAAAATCCTCAACCAAAATCTGTTCTACTTTAAAGCTAACATATAATCAATTCTGAAATTTATTAAAAGTGCTAGTCATATGACATAAGATTTTGTGATCAAAACATAAATTACTTCACCTTAAACTCACTTCAACTAAAATTAATTCAGTCGGAAACAATTTTCGTTAGAGAACACAACGCATACTAAGTTACCTGAGCAGTGCAAATGTTGCTGGTGGCCTTGTCTCTACGGATATGCTGCTCCCTAGTTTGCATAGCCATCCTCAAAAGCTTGCTTTCCAGAAGAATCAACACTAACACCGATAATTCGTCCAGGAATCATCCTCTTATACTCTTGCGAAGTAGCCAAGAAAGCAGCATGAGGACCACCATAACCCATTGGAACATTGAATCTCTGCGCTGAACCAACAACAATATCAGCTCCAAACTCACCCGGAGGTTTCAACACAGTCAATGCCAACAGATCACTCGCCATAACAACCTTAACCTCATTAGCATGAGCCTTCTTAATAAACTCACTGTAATTCAAAACCTCGCCTTCAGTACCAGGATACTGAATAAGAACACCACAAACATCACCAGATTTGTAATCAATATCCTTAAGATCTTTCACCAAAACCTTGAGCTCAAATTCATTGGCTCTCGTTTGACATATATCAATGGTTTGCGGATGATAGTTACTAGCAATAATGAAAGTTTTCTTCTTACCCTTTCGAATATTATTACACATAGACATTGCTTCCGCAGCAGCAGTACCTTCATCAAGCAATGAAGCATTTGACATAGGCAAACCAGTGAGATCAGTAATCAAGGTCTGAAAATTCAACAAAGATTCAAGACGACTTTGAGATATCTCATCTTGATAAGGTGTATACTGTGTATACCAAGCAGGATTCTCCATGATGTTCCTCAAAATCACAGGAGGAACACGAGTGTTATAGTATCCCATACCAATAAATGATTTTTCGAACCTAAATCCTTCATGTGTTCAATCATTTGACCTTCTGTCAATCCATCATCAAATTTATTGAACTTCATTTTCTTCAACCGAATCGATTTCGGCACTGTTTCATCCACAAGTGAATCAAGCATATCGAAACCAACAGATTCAACCATTTTCATTTGTTCATCCGGTGTTACTGAGTTATGGCGTCTCGGAAATGTATCACTCGGTTTCAACGCTTCCACGGAGATGGATCAAGATTGTGATGGATAACCAACACCGAGAAGCCCACCACTTGCAACGGCAGCAACCTGTTATTGTAACTCAGTCATTGTCTCCTCACCGGACTCAGGATTTTGCTTTCACCGCTGATCGTGTAAACCGCTTAACCATCCCCACCTTACCATTGCCTTTACCACTTACAACTGCAGCACCTTGTTCTACCACATTAAACTTCCACTTTCATCACCGATCTAGTAATCCGTTTAAATAAAGGCCGTTTCTACAACCTCTCGAAACTCACTCTTCAAACCATCACCAGACGAATTAAAACTGTTGTGGATTTCGATTCTGTCTTCACTGATACATTCATGAAGGGGATTTGTGACAGAATTTGAGAGAAAGAGAAGATCGGGAAATTAAAAAATGCCGAGGGATTTAAAAGTTAAATTAGAGAAGGAATCATTAAAAAGAAATTGAAGGTCGAATTGATGATGGTTGAGTTTAGGGTTTTGGGATTTTTCAGAAACCGTTTGCGACAAGAAGAAGAAGAAGGTGGGGTCACAACTTTTTTTCAATATTTTTTTAAAGTTTAAACATGTATTTAATCTATAATTTATAATTTGTAATGTATTTATAATTTCTATTATATATATATATTAACATTGTTATCAAAATTAATTTTAATAAAAATTAACTATTTATATAATAAAATAGAAAACATTTTACTATTATTTTAGATAAAAATATTAAGTTACATTATCATGAAAATTATAATAATTATAATAATTATTTATTAAATTAACTAATAAAATTGAAAATATTAGAAAATAAAAATGAAAGAAAAAGTGGAAAATTAAAAGAATAAAAAAATAGTGATTATGATTGGGTAAAGTAATTGCGACAGTTTTCCTTAACTGTCGCGAGTGTGGAAAGAGGGCGGTTCTTTGGTAACTGTCGCATTATTTTATACAACATGCCTAAAAAATTTGCGACGGTTGGCTCAAACCGTCA